ATCTAATGTAGTGTATTTTATTATAATCTAATCTAGTGTATTTTATTATAATCTAATCCAATGTGATGAAGCTGTTACCTGCTGGTAGGAGACAGTCAGAACTCTGACCACCATGTCTTCATCAGGACGTGTCTCCTCCTGCTGGAGACACACAGGAACAACAACAATAATAGAATTTATATATAATATAATATGTAATGTACAATAATAAAATGAATGTGTTGAGTCAGTGATGAAGAACATAAGCTCTGAACATTTACTTCATTACTCAGCACTGTACTGAAGTACAACTTTAAGGTACTTGCACTTTCCTTGAGTATTTCAATTTCACACCTTCTTATACTTCTACTCTACTACATCTTGTACTTTTTATATTATTATAATATTTCTCTAAAAATCAAAGATGAGAGAAAAGTCCAGAAAGTGAAAACAGAGAATTATAATTTCTTCTTCTTCTTCTTCTTCTTCTTCTCTTTCATTATTAATGTCAGGACCTCTAACATTAAGCCGGTGACCCTCTGGAGGGGCCCGACCCTGAGGTTGAGACTCTCTGGACTAAATTATCTGACGTTATATAAAGTTAAAGTACAACAGGAGGCTTCACGAATAACTCATTTATTAAGATGTGAGTTCATTTTACTGATAATTCTAATATTGTAAAAAATACACAAGAATTAGAAATGATATTGTGTGCGTGTGTGTGTGTGTGTGTGCGTGTGTGCGTGTGCGTGCGGTGTGTGTGTGTGTTCTCACGCTGCAGACAGTAAACGGTCCAAATGAAGCCGGCTGGTGAACTGGAGACCAGTAACACTCACATTTCTTCTGCAGGAAACAAAAAGATGACATTTCATTTGAATACATCTGATTCACCGTTGATAAAGATAAAAACCTTCATTTAATAATATTAATAATAACTTCTCTTCTCCGACGCAGCCGTCAAACCAGATCAAATATGAACCAGGGTTCTGTTACTCGTAGAACTTTGTCTCAAACTGATTTTTGTGTTTATTTGATAAAATGAGAGATTTTATTTCTTTGTTTTCACAGCAGCCAGATTATGAATATATTCATATGAATATTTAGATATTATTTCTCCCAATAAGCCTCATGTGATGTATTTGATCATCAGAGGAACCGGATTCCTTCACAGATCATCCGTCTCACGTTCTGCTGTCGGGATGTTTATTTTATTAAAGTTACAGATTATTTATCTGCAATAAGAAGTGAATGTAAACATAGAAAGTATAAACATGGACACCAAGTATTATTTTGGCTTTCATTATATTTGTTACTATTTTAAATTCTTTAGATTTATATTCATTATAATTGATAATATTTTCATTATTATCGTCATAATTTTTATTTGTATTTTTTATGATTGGTAATATTTTTTACCTTTCCCATTTCTATTTCTCTGGAGGCCATGACTATCACCTGAAACACACAAACATTAGTCAGACCCTCCTTCATCTGATGATGAAAACACTATTTATTAGTTCTCAGTCTCATTCATTAAAAATATTAAATATGTTAAAAACAAACTAATTCCTGGACAGGAATGTTTGATGTTTAGTGTTGGACCTTGACGTTGTTTTCCCAGATCATCCTCCAGAAGTCAATCAGCGTGGAGCCGAGGGGCCCCTGTGAGGCGATATACCTGCAGTCTGATGAGGCCCCCTGGAGAACAAACAGCAGCATTACAACAGCAACAAACGAGTTTACTGCACACTAGCTATAGTAGAGTTTAGTGCACACTAACTAAAGTTGAGTTTAGTGCACACTAGCTATAGTCGAGTTTAGTGCACACTAACTAAAGTAGAGTTTAATGCACACTAGCTAAAGTAGAGTTTAGTGCACACTAACTAAAGTAGAGTTTAGTGCACAGTAGTTATAGTAGAGTTTAGTGCACACTAACTAAAGTAGAGTTTAGTGCACACTAGCTATAGTAGAGTTTAGTGCACACTAACTAAAGTAGAGAGTTTACTGCACACTAACTACAGTAG